AAATAATTAAAAAAATTAGAAATTATTCAATGATTTAATTCACCAAAGCAAACAGTGGATAAGAAAAACCTCAGTATAACTAATGCCAGCATTACTAATACCAGCATTATTAATACATCATATTCAACACTATTCTTATACCACCTGCCAAACGACCCCTTAGTACATTGTTTGACGGCCAATCTTGTTCCCTTTATTTTCCTTGACCTAACATTATTGTTGAACTTCACATGTGGTACATAGACAATGGAATGGCTAAGAAAGCTTCACTAACATGGGAAATAAGGACTAGAATCGCTTATGGAGTTGCTCGTGCTCTCGAATTTCTCCACGCTCAAGGCCCTGGTGTTTGCCATGGTAACATAAGGTCATCCAATGTTTTACTCACCAATTGTTTCGATGTTCGTCTCTCAGAAAATGGAATTTTCAGACTTTTCGTGCCAAACTCCAAGTTTGTCCTAATCCCTGGCTATCAAGCACCAGAAGTGGAAAATGCCTACGATGTTTCTGTGAAATCCGATGTTTACAGCTTTGGTGTCCTGCTCTTGGAATTGCTGACTGGTAAGGCCCCGTTGGAAGCAATTGGCAAGAACTCAGGTGTTGATTTACCTAGTTGGGTTCGAGATATGTTTCAAGAAAAGCCTATTATTGATGTTTTTGATAGTATGCTGCTGCATAATTACCAGAATTTTGGAGAACAGATGGTTCAATTGTTACAGCTAGCAATTTGTTGTACTTTCAAGAATCCGTCTAAAAGGCCCTCAATGGTTGCAGTGACTAATAGAATAAACAGGACGTGTAGTTTTAGATCATGAAGACGGTTTATTAGCTGATAATGGACCATTGAGAGCCATCTGTTCCCTTTTTGTAGTTTTATATCTTTTTGAAATTCAATTACACAATGTAAACAGGATTCTTGTCTGAAGCATTTTAATCAGATAGAAACCAGCTTAAACAATTGAACATGTCCACAGTCAACTTTTACATTATAAGCAAGACAATAAAGTAATCAAGAAATTGAGACGTGCATCATATTCCCACGACAGCTCCTTTTCTCCGAAATGTACAACTATTCTAGCAAGTGGTGAAAGTGTAGGAGATGGAACTTTAGCAACTCGTTACAAGACAGAGTTGATGGATTTTTAAAAATTAATTGGTAATGAAGAGGTCGAAGAATGGATGAGAATTTGAATAAAAGATTGAAGAAGTGCGGAAGCTGGTTGAACTGTTTTCCACTTGGAGCTTATTGCTAATTGTAATATGGTCAAATTTTCATAACATTTGTCATGACATAATATCCATTATTAGGCCAAGGATTTCTTACTATAAATAGAGGAGTTTCTCCTAATTTGTAAGCACACCAATTCAAGAGCTTTTCACTCTTTCTTTCTCCTCCTTTATTTCATTATAGAGTATTTTATAATAGAGTGAGTGTTGGGAAACACTTGTTTGAACCCTTTCTTTGGAGTGATCTTGTGAGGTTATTCTCTTGGGTATTTGGGATTAATTAGAGTATTTACTCTAATTTTGTACTCTTTTTTGTACTCTTGTTGGTATAGTAAAATTGCTCTTCTCCGCTGGTGGACGTAGGTCAGCTTGACCGAACCACGTTAAATTTGTGTCTTATTTATATTCTTTAATTGTCATTATTATCAACTTCCATTGTCTTTGTTATTGTTATTATACCATTGTTTGGCTAAATTCCGCACTATCCAGGTTCCCGATCCTAACAAATTGGTATCATAGCCAGATCTAACCGGGTTAGTTTAAATAGCCAAAATGACTCTAATAAAGTCTTATGTTGAAAAATTTGACCGAAGTGCAAACTTCGGAATGTAGCAATTAAAGATGGAAGCTATCCTAATTCAGGATGGCTTAGATTTGGCACTGCAAGAAAGGAGAAGATGCCGGATAAAATGAGGGACGAGGAGTTTACCGTCATAGACTAAAAGGCAAAAGCAGGTATTATTTTAAATCTTTCAAATGAGGTTTTGCGTGAAGTTGCAGCAGAAAGCTCAGCCAAAGGCATATGGGAAAAGCTTAAAACCTTATATATGAAAAGAACAGTAGAAATCAGGCTTTACCTAAAGCAAAAACTCTACACTTTTCGTATGGCTGAAGGTACCTCTATACTTACTCATCTTGATACTTTTGATTCTCTTCTTATGAATTTAAGTAACATAGATGCTGAAATCAAAGATGATGATCAAGCTGTGTTATTGTTTGTTTCCTTACCCCAGTCGTTTAAACATATAAGAGATACTATGCTTTATGGAAAGGATAATATCTCTTATAAAGATATCAAATCTATTTTGAAATCAAAAGAACAAATAGATAGAGATATTACAGGGAAAATTAGTGGGAACCAATGGGAAGGCTTATTCATAAGAGGTAGATCCAATAAGAAAGATTCAAGTAGTGAAAAACCTAAATCAAGGTCAAAATCTAGATACAGAAATGTCATGTGCAAATATTGTCATAAGAAAGGTCACATTATTTTTGAATGCTTTAAATTGAAAAACAAAGAAAAGCATACAGAAAAGAAAAATGAGCACAAAAATACTGACACTGCCGAAGCAAGTGTAGCTGTTGATGAGACTGAGGAAATTATTTTTTTAGCAACTAATAATAGTTTCAAATCTAACAATGAGTGGATTTTAGATTCGGGTTGTTCTTATTACATGTGTTCCAGTCGGGATTTATTTACCATATATGAATCTATTGGAGGTGGAGTTGTCTTGATGGGCAACAATGCTGCCTGCAAAGTTATTGGAAAAGGTACAGTCCGAATCAAAATGCACGATAGTATGGTGAGAACTCTCACCGATATTAGACATGTTCCTGACTTGAAGAAAAATCTCATCTCTTTGGGCACTCTAGAATCTCTTGGGTGCAAGTTCACAGGTGAAAGTAGAGTTTTGAAAATTTCTCATGGTGCTCTTGTGATCATGAAAGCACGCAGATCTGGTACGTTGTATACTCTTTTGGGATCTAATGTTACAGGTGCTGCTGCATTTTCAATATCAGATAAATCAGATTCTGACATTACCAAATTGTGGCATATGCGATTGGGGCATATGAGTGAAAAGGGTCTTTCCATCCTCAACAAAAGAGGTCTCTTATGTGGCCAAAGTACAGGAAATATGGAGTTCTGTGAACATTATGTGTTTGGGAAGCAGAAAAGAGTCAGCTTCAAATCTCCAGCGATTCATAGAACAAAAGGTACTTTGGATTACATTCATTCAGATCTTTGGGGTCCTTCACGTACCCCATCGAAAGGTGGTGCCAGGTATATGTTAACTTTCATTGATGATTATTCAAAGAAAGTTTGGGTTTATTTCCTGAAAAATAAAAGTGATGTTTTCTTACATTTCAAACAATGGAAAATTTTGATTGAGAAGCAAACAGGAAAACAAGTTAAGCGGCTTAGAACAGATAATGGCTTGGAATTTTGTAATGATGAATTGAACGAATTTTGCAAGAATGAAGGAATTGCTCGACATCATACTCTGAGAATGACACCTCAGCAAAATGGTGTGGCAGAAAGGATGAATAGAACTCTTTTGGAAAGGGCTCGTTGCATGATTTCAAATGCTGGGTTGACAAACGCCTTTTGGGCAGAAGCTATCTCTACAGCTTGTTATATTGTCAACCGAGCTCCTTCTGCACCTTTGAACTTTAAGACTCCAGAGGAAGTATTGTCAGGTACTCCTGCTAATTATTTTAATTTAAAGATATTTGGTTTCCCTGCATACATGTATGTAGATGATGAAAAATTAGAGCCAAGGGCTAAAAAGTGCATTTTTCTTGGGTATGCATCTGGGGTGAAAGGATACCGACTATGGTATCCTGATCCCATGGTACCAAAATTTATAATTAGCAGAGATGTAACCTTTGATCAATTCTCTATGTTACATTCTAGAAAAGAGTCTTCTAGTTCTTGTGATACAGATAAAGAAAAATGTACACAGAACAAGGTGGAGATTGAGATTGACATTCCTGCTGAGCCAAGCTTATCAACTTTGGAGCAAAATACAGTTGAAACTCCTGAAGTTGAGACAGAAGTTGAAATTCCTGAAGTTGAGACTCCTGAAGTTGAACCAGAAGAAGAAGAGTATTCTATAGCCAAACATAGACCAAGAAGAGAAGGTAAACAACTATTAAGGTTTGGAGAAGGTTCAACTTCCATTGTCTTTGTTATTGTCATTATACCGTTGTTTGGCTAAATTTCGCAGTACCCGGGTTCCCGATCCTAACACTAATTTATATGCACTGACGAAGCGAAAAAGTGTATGAATTTACGTTGAAGATAATTCCACTTAATAAACATTGATTGATAACCTAGTATAAATGGTAAGTAACATATCGTAACCGGAGAGATGAAAAAGAAACAATAAGAACATTGACATCCGCTTGGTCGAGATTGAAAAAATAGAAACAATAAGGAACATCAAGTAATCAAGAAACATGAAAAAAGAAAAAAAATCAAGAAACTGGAGAGATGCAGATTCAATTCCTAACCGCAGTTGTTGCAATGTGTCCAGTTGCTTCTTGAATAAGGAGCAGTCCGTCGTGCAGAGCCCAAATATAGCTAACTTATTACCAAATGAGTATCATGTACGTTTAAGATCACAAACTTTAAAAGATAATTTCTTCATAAATTTCGTGTTTCGTAAAAAAACTTCATATAAAAAGGGAGGGGAGAGTGTTTCTCAATAGTCTAGACTTTTTTGTAAGCTAAAAACTATATTCCCTTTTTTGTCTTTTAAGGCTTTCGCAAACCCCGAAAGAAAGATATTTAATGGCCCTATTTCTAAAAATATTATTTGTCTAAATTACCTTTCCTCTCTCCTTAAACTTTGTGACGACTTATGAGAAACTTTTGAAAACTTTAATATCATTTATTACAGCAAGGATAAAACTAAAAAAGGAAAAGTTAATGCCTTCTTGATTTTCTAATGTGCTTAATATTTTGAAATAATTTTTTGACTAAAGTTGTAGATATAGAAATGAATGGAGGGAGTACTTTTGTACAATTTTCTATCTTAATCCTCGCACTTTCTTTGTTTTTTTCTTGCAAAGTAATAGAAGAACAAAATGGGTTGTTCTGGCTACTTCTGCCAAACACTAAGATGACCTCAATGGTAAACTACTAAGCTTTTCTACATAAATCTATGCAATCTTGATTTGGAGTGCTTGGAATATGGTTTAAGAAAATTTTGAGAAGATACTATTCTCTAGAAATATTTAGTGTATGTAGAGGTTGTACATGGGAATGGAACTTATTGTAAGACAAGTTTGGATAAGAATACAATGATAGAGAAGAGGTTGAATAATGGGCTTCTTCATGGAAATTTGAAGAAAACTTCAAAAATTGGTGAAGTTGGTTACCACCTCTTAGTGCTTATTGTTTTGTTCACAATGAAAAGAGAAACTTCTTTCATGTAGTATTGGTTACTTTCAAGATGGAAGTGGAATTGATTTTATCAAAAATATTGTAGTGTTTTAGATTGTAAAATGAGGAGAGGATCCCACAAAGCTTTAGGTATTTTAGGTTAGATATAGAAGAGTAAATTGGCCGATTAAAGAGAATAAAGGTCGAGAACTACTTTTATGAGTACTTGCAAGAAGGAGATTGGGTCATTTCCTCTGGGTGAAAGATATTGGTGTACTAGAATGTTTGTTGCTAATCACAGTGTATTTAGATACTATGGCTGCAAAGTAGGCTGCAAAGCCTAACAAGTTATTATGTGCTCAAAATCACAATTCGGAGAAGGTTGCAAATATTGACATTCATTTTCTTATTAGTTTTGTTGTTTTATTGTTAGTTTTTTCTTCGGGTTGAAACTACCTCTTTCTAGATGAAATGATAAAGTTCCTCCTTTGTATTAGGTCTGGTGAAGATGTTCTGGATCTTTTTAGTTAGCACTTGGAACTTCTGAAATTGTGAAGTTGGAAAAGAAAATCGATAGTTAAATTAGTCAAATCAAAGCTAACCAAAAGTATGATGTATAATCTGTCAGCGCACCTCAATTTTTCATCTGGATCTACACCTTATCTCGTACAAGGCAACAAGAGTCAGTTGGTTCAAGTAAAATTTTCTTTACTTCTATACTTATGATATATAAAATGATTGAATTGAAATATAAGCATTTTCCAATAGCCACGTTCTATTTATTTTCAATAGTCCTATTCTTAAGTACTCAAGCACTTTTTATCCACCAAGAGTACTAATTTCTTTAAGAGTTTTAGGTGAAGAAGTTGTTCTGAAGTAAGGCTAACAATCTTAAGAAAATTAACCAGACCCAGTCGATATTGCATTGTTGGAATGCAAGATTTAGTTAACTTAGATTTTCTATTTTTGGATTTGAATCTGAGTGAGCATACTCTCATAAACTGCAGCAGAAGTGACTTTGTTGTGTTTTTCGTATCACATTTTGTTCAAGTTATAATGTCTAGAAGGTATCATGTTTTTGTTTGTTGTAAAGGATATAACCTTAGGTATATAGATTTCACTATCTATCTGCATCTTTCTCTATTTCATCCTATTACAATAGTGTTTTAATTGATGAAACTTCAGAGCAAAGGTAAGTATCTACGAGATAATTGCTTATCTTTGTAAAAAAAAAAAAAAGGACATGGAAACAAAGAAGAAAGTTTCTTCTTTATTTAAACATGTGGCAACCATGGTCCTGACAAGGTTCCAAGACGTTGCTTTGGTGTCCGGGACTTCGTGACCCTGCAAGTATGAAAAATCTAAAGTAGATTTAGGATGCCACTGTGGAGGGTGATAACAAAAGGTGGATGTTACCTCTATTCATCAGTCTGTTACTAGCTGTGCAGCAAGGTAATTTAGTGAGAGGTACATGTGAGCATTGCTCAAGTAGGGAAATAACTTTTCTAGGAACTTATGGTTGTAATTGAAGTTGCTGAAAATGATTTCATAGTTACTGACAAGTGAAGGTTAGACATTCTTATCGGAAAGTTAATCCTTTATATACAGTTTCTGAAGATATTAACGCAAAACCAGACATAAATTTTCTTGATCAGTTAAACTCATGATTTCCTTTTTTCTTTTTGGTGTTTTCTTGGCATGTAATGCTTTAAAGAATTAGAGGAATGAAACATCTTGTCCAATGGATTACTAAATTCAGAATCGTAACTTTGGTGTATGTCATAATTCCACATCACCTGTACCAGTAGAAATTATATGTCATTTGGAAAGAATTAGATTTATGTTTGAATTAGAAAGGGTGAACAGACACTTGTGGTTAAGGAGTACTGTTTTTTAGCATGTCATTCAGCAGGCGACTATACAAAGAGAAAAATAGAGGAACACAAATAAGACCACACTGATAATTGTAGAAGCATGTCTGAGCAGTAGGCGAGTACCTATATGGGACTAAGCATGAATTATTTGATATCTTAAGATCAATGTTATTACTGTATATTATGCACATGGGACTTACTTGGTTTCTGCATCACCCTGCATTTTATAATATAGTATTTTGAGATGCCTTCATAGTGTTGCTTGGAGATCAATTTGTTTTGTGTTACAATAAATTACAACATTTATCAAATGTCTGTTCTTTTCTTTCTATGTGGAACATTAAGTTGACTTGGCCACTGATAGTGGTTAGGAATTATCATGCTTTGAGATAAAATGTCAGTTTGTTATTAAGCAGATTTTCCCTCTTAAATATATGCCCCCACAATTAATTCTTTCACATATTTGAACTCCTCCAACTTTGTAGTACTTAAATGATATAGAGATATAATTTTTTCGCATTATTAGCAGGCTATAATAAATGGTGCATCTTTGTTTGTTGCAATTGCAGGAAGGCAAAGCTACTAAAGAGAACAAAGAAAATATAAATGGAGAACTTAAGGCCTTGAAATCTTCGGAAGTTTCTGTTGGTTTGAACAAGGAAAGCTTACATGCCACCTAGCTTAATGGGGAGGCCAAGCTTACAGCAAATGGATCAGTTACAAAATTATGAGATGAAGTATGTTAAATCAGCCATGTATCAGAAAAGCAATCTGTAGCTAAGGGGATAGCAAATGGGGTTTCTAATAGATGCTAGCTTTAGTTGTTTAGTGTGTAAAGTTTTATCATGATACATACATCCGATTTTTATATAAGTTCATTTTTAAGATACGCCTTTAAGAGATTTGCTTTATTAGTTAATGTAGTACATAATATATATTTTTCCGGAAGTTCATAAATCATAGCAAGTGTGAGCATTTGAATTTCGTTTGGTTATTTTTTAGTTGATGTAGTGCTTAAGCTCTTCATATTGTAGCAATGATCTCAAAAAATGTGAGATTGTTGGATCTATTAAACAATTTACAAGAAAGGAATATATTACACGATTTGCTGCAAAAGCCACGCATAAAAAGTGTGGCTTATAAGGTACCAAAGGCCACACTTTGGAAGTGTTAGTTGTAGCACTTGAAAGCGTTACTATAAAGGGGTATGTGCAAGTGTGGCCTTTGTATGTTATAAGCCACACTTTTAAAGCAACACTTGAAAAGCGTAGTCTTAGGGAAAAGGTTACGCTAGTTTAGGTCACCACTAAAAAGTGTTGCCTAAAGCCGAAAAGTATTGCCTTTGATCAAATGTCACGCCTTTTGATAGTTTAGGCCACACTTTTCATTTGTAATTAAAGGCCTAAAATGTTGTATTGCGTGACAATCCAGAATAGCATGATAGGGCAACAACCAGTCCATGATATACCTAATATAACATCAAAGTCTACCATACTAAGCAACAATAGATCAACTCTAGTCTCAAAACCACCAATAACAACTAAACACAATTGATACACACGGTCCACAATAATAGAATCTCCCACAGGCGTGGACATATAAACAGGATAACTCAAAGAATTACGAGATACATCCAAATACGGAGTAAAGTAATATGACACATAGGAATAAGTGGATTCCGGATCAAATAAGACTGATGCATCTCTATGGCAAACCGAAACCATACCTGTAATAACTGTGTCTGAAGCGACTGCCTCCGTCCTACCCAAAAACGCATAGAATATGGCCTAGACCCCCTCTCTAGATAGACCTCTAGATGGCTGTGAAGGTGGAGCGGAAACTAGGGCAGCAACCATGGCTTGAGAAGTCTGTGGACCTGACTGAATCTGTGGAGCCTGAGTAGTCTGTGGAGGTGCACCCCTTCTGAGTCTGGGAAAGTCTCTAACTATGTGACGGGTATCGCCACACTCAAATCAAGCTCTCGTGGGCATGGCTGCTGGGACTAGCTCGGGCCTGGCCGATTGGACTGATCGTTGAAGGCACCCCGTGCAGGAGGTGCACTAGAAAGTGGTTGAGCAAAGTGTGCAAACTGAGACCTCGGAATAACCGGAGCACCGCTAGAAACTGGAAGCGCTGAGTGAACTAGATGGCTCACATAGCCTCTACCATGATGTACTGTAGTTGCAGCATGACCACTATTAAATCCTCCAGTACCTCCTCTTGGCCTCCCTGTCCTCTCTCTCACGGTCCCGCATACCCTCCAACCTCCGTGCAATCTCTAACACCTGTTGATATGGGGTATCTGTCTCAAACGCTCGAGCCATGCTGAATCTAATACCATAGTTGAGCCCCTCGATAAATCGACGAACTCGTTCTCTGACTGTAGAGACCAAAGCAGGTGCATGTCTGGACAAATTACTAAATCAGACAACATACTCTAACATTGTCATAGTAACCTGGTGCAACTGCTCAAACTCCGTGCACCATTCATCCTTAAGGGTCTAAGGAACAAACTCTTTCAAGATCAACTCTGAAAATCGAGTCTATGTGAGTGAAGCTGCATCGGCTGGGCTAACCTCCTCGTACATTCGCCACCACTGATACGCTGCTCCCGATAGCTGAAATGTAGTAAAAGCAACCCTACTCGTCTCCACAATACCCATGCTTGGGAGAATACGGTGGCATTCTTCTAGAAAACCATGTGCATCCTCTGAAGCCAAACTACTGAAAGTAGGAGGGTGATACTTCTTGAACCTCTCAAGTTTAAGCTCCTCCTCTTCAGATACTGCCGCCCTAACTGCGGGCTGAATTGGAACAACAAGATGTACTAGAATAACATCTGGAACCTGATCAAAATGGACCCGCTGCTCTGGAGTACGGGCTGCAGGAGTTTGAGCTCCTCCCCCAGCCTGAGATATGGCTGGTGCAAGTGGAATCAACCCCACCTGAGCTAGAGTACCAAACATGCTCAAGAGTTGTGCGAGGGTCTCCTGACGTGCAGGGGTAGAAACAGGGGCCTCGGGTGTCTGCCTCACAGCTGGAGCTACTAGTGGCTCCTCTGTCGCAGCTCGGCCAGGTGCTCTGGTTGCACCATGTACCCCTCCTCGGCCTTTGCCCTAGCCCCGGTCTCTCGCGGCTATAGCAGGGGGTGCGAGTGTCAGATCGTCGGATCCAGGAGTGCGTGTCCTCAACATCTGTGAGAGAATAGAAAGTCAAAGATTCAGTTTTCGAAGACGATTAATTTGCGCGATAAGGAATCAAAGAAGCAAAGTTTTCCTAACAGTTTCGTAGCCTCTCGAAAATAAATACAAATGTCTTTGTACATATCTGCAAGGACACTACTAAACCTGCTTATGACTCGTAACACCTATGAACCTAGAGCTTTGATACCAACTTGTCATGACCCCAATTTTCCTCCGTAGGATATCGTGATGACACCTAGTCTCTACGATTAGGTAAGCCTAAAATTCAATAATATATTGAAAGAAATAATGAACAGAAATTCTAAAATAAGTCTAATAAACTCATAAGATCTCCCCAAATAGAATCTCAACAAATACTTTCCCAAAACCGGTGCAACTGAGTCATAAGCTCTACAGAGTAAGCTAAAATGTCTACTACATCAATGAAAATACAACAAGAAGTAAATATAAATGAAGGTGACTCCTAGGCCCGTGGACGCCGAGCAGGCATACCTTGTAGTCTCCATAAAGCAGCTAACAGTCGCTCACTAACGTCCGGCACGAGCAAACGTACATGGATCTGCATAAAATGATGTGTTGAAGCATAGTATGAGTACACCATAACGGTACTCAATAAGTATCAAGCTTAACCTCGGTAGAGTAGTGACGAGGCCAGGCCAATACACCAACTAGGATATAATATACAGAATAAAAAAGGAATCACAAGAACTAGTGGAAATCAGAGAAATATGTAACATGGAACAAGTCGATAACACAGGCTAATGAAAGGGTTGTAAGCACAGAAATAACATAAATGAAACAACTGAGAAGAACCACAATGGTCATATACAGACAACAACTGATAGAACAAGAAAGATCAAAACAACAAGAGGTATTCTCACCCAATAACTCTTTGCAGCAAGATTAAACAACAAGAATCAAAACAAGGTACCACCTCGCATACAATAAGAATCACAACGAGGTACCACCTCGCGTACAATAAGAATCACAACCGAGGTACCGCGTATTCACATTTCTCAATTTCAATCACAATCTTTCCTTATACCCCCGTGTGAGCCTTACATTTAAATAGTTTTGAAAACTGTATTTCCGAAATAGCTACACGTGCTTTAGCCAACCTTATGACACTGCATGGATTCACGTAATTGCCTTACAAGCAACACGCACATAAGTCCCACCTTATACCGCCGCATGCGTGTCAATATCATGTTATAATAACAACTCGCACCACAAGTGCCCATATATCACAACTTACTAACAATCAACAATAACAATGTTTCCACAACAATAGCCCATGGCTCCACCACAACGTGTACAAAAATATCAACAATTACAATGAATGTAAAACTCGTCACAAGAAAGATATCTCAACAATTAACAACTTCACCTCAATGTGATACAACTTTCATAACGTCAACACTAATAACTCAATCATGAGAAAGATAATGTGTAACCACGAACTAAATACAAATAACTCAAAATGGGAGATTTAATATGACTTCAAATAAGAATAATAGCAATGAAAGAGATAACTTGTAACAATGACATAAAATAATGATAAACTAGGATGAAAGAGATAACATATACAATGACTTCAAATGATGATAATGAAAAATGATAGAGATAACATGTAACAATAAAAGGGGCAACAAGTTCAACTAAAGCATGAGAGCAATTTATCAAGTAGGATGCAGAACAAGTGTTAAATAAGTCATTTAAGGCATTCAAGGATAGACTAACACAAGTAAGAATAGATTGACTATGAGAATTTAGAACGTGATATGATATTTCAATTAAAGCATGGAAAGAGTCTAAGTAGCCTAAACTGGTCAAATACCACATACAACACGTGTATCCACTCGTCACCATGCGTACATGGTTTTCACATAGCACAAAAGACATAATTAACCACAAATCCTAAGAGGTAGTTCCCCCGCACGTAATTAGGCAAGATACTTACCTCAATAAGGCCAATTCAACACTCAAAAATCGTTTTTCCTCTAACATTCGCCTCCACACTTCTCAAATCTAACCAAAAATCGACTTAATATTATCAAACAATGCAAGGAAAATTCAATTACAATAGATAAAGCTATGATCTTCACACTTTTCTAAGAAGTCAACAAAAGTCAACTTGGGGCTCGCCCAGTCAAAAATTCGGGTCCAATGGTAGATTATGACTACCCATGACCCCACAAGTTCATATATGTGATTAGTTTCCAAATTCGAGTCCGAATCGACTCTCAAAACCCAAATTCTTATTTTTAAAAAACTTGACAAAGTTTCAAACATTTTCACTTTGATTTGATGTTAAAATATAATATATATTGATGGAATATGATTGGAAATATATAAGAATCATTTACCCAAAATTTGTAGATGAAAATGCCCTCTCCAAATTACCTCCTACCGAGTCTAGGGTTCTAAAATAAGAGAATGTGAGATGAAATCTCGACTTCCAGCCCTTATGTTCAGCTGCAGTTATTGGAATTGCAACATGGGTTCGCAATTATGAACCCTCTCAATTGCAAAGAAAATCTCACAATTGATGCACTGACAGGCCTAGGGAACTTCTCATAAATGTGAGAGGGGTTCGCAATTGCGAACCCTGTTCCCCTCGCAAAAGCGACAGATTAGTCGTAAATGCGAACTACGCATAATCCTAAGCCACTTCGCAATTGCGAGCCAAGTATCCTAATTACGATACCTGAGGCCCCCCTGCTAAGCTCTCAATTACAAATCCGGTGTTCGCAAATG